AATTTACCTAATTTCTTAATTTTTCTCAGTGCCTCCACATCAAGTTCAAGGGGAAACCGAGGCAAATGTCCCTACAGAGCGCGAGATGAAAAATGTTGTCTCATTGTCGGCATTTGTGTTTTCCCCCGCCCAATTTCCATATATATTTTACGCCATAAATTAAGCACTTGAACCACTTAAAGAAAAATTTCAATTGTTGCAACGACGATAAGGAAATCGAGCGTTTTGTCTGCGCTAAAAAACAGAAATCTGAAAAACTGAAAACTCCAGCGAAACCGGAAGAGGGCATCCCAAAGATAAAGTTTTTTCGTGTGGGAAAAAAAAGAAGAAAAGCGAAAAAAATCGAAGAAAAATCTGTGAAGGGAAAAAGAAAAGCCGGAAAGGCAAAGGGCCGGCGAACACGCAAGAAATCTGCCGTTTACTCAGCATTCAGTGCTCAGGCACTTGCCACCCGAAAATCCATATGTGGAGACACCTCAGATCCAGATGCCATCCGGACACTCCTCCCTCCTCCCGTGTTCGTTGGTTCGACTTTTCCAGCAGCATTCGCTGCGAGTTTTCCTCAGACACTTTGCTGCAGCTTAAGCACCGCCAGACACGCCAATGGCAAACAAAGTCAATAGCCAGACAAATGAAAAGCTCGGAAAAGCGAGAACAGCGAGGAAGGAGCATACGGAAAGGAGGCTCCAGGGAAGGTTCTAAGCACTGAGGGAATTGGCCAAACTGGAGACGGGGATACCCTTTTGATGGGGAGGATATGGGATCTTAATTCCTTTTAATTCTTTCTCTAGAAAAAGTCTTCAAGGATGATCAAGTGAATTATATATTTAATCTATATATTATCTATATATTTTCTATATAATTATTTTTAAGTTCAATCATTTTCATCAAACAAATCCATATACCTCACAATTTTTAAGTAGAGCATAAAACGGTTCATTCCGCACGAATGAGCCCGCCTTGGCTTGGTTCGGGCCAAGTTATCCAACCCAACCAAGCTCAGCCAAGCCAGCCAAGCGATCCCAACAGTCCCAACAAGCAAAGGAGGCAGGAGCACAGGAGGCAGGACACAGGAGGCAGGATACAGGAGGCAGGACTCAGGGTAAAGGCTGAAGGAAGCCCAAGCGAAGCGTAAACATTTTACACTTTTGTGTGCAATGAAAGCGACGCCATCTTGATGGGGCTGTGGATGTGACTGGTGGGGATATCAACGGGTATGAGGTAGAGGAGACCCCAGGCTTGTGGGGATGTTAACCCAGGGGGAATCCATCGCTGAAACGGGTTTCGCAGTCAACCGAAGGACTATTCGAACATAGAGCATAAGGCCGAAGCCTCGTTTTTCTGGCTAAGCCTTTCACTTTTTCTTATCGAGTCTCCTCGGCAATTTCTCATAAATTCAGCAAGTTATAGGCCCAAGATCGTAATGTGTATGAAAAATGTGACAAAAAATGCTAAAATAATGCTAAAAAATACAAACCCAAAATGCAGCCACAAAAATAATCAAAAAACACAACAAGAATCATATAAAACCTGAGCTGAGAAGCAAGAGAAAATTGTGAAAATTTTCTGTTTTTCCTGCTTAGATGGCACTACTAAGTGTGGTTCGGTTTGGGTCGTGGTTTTTGGTCCTAGCTCCTCCTTGCATCCTTGTAAGCCAAAATGCAAATGTAAAGCAACACCTCGCGCCACGCCCACCACGCAAAACATTTGCATTAATCATGTTTGCCTTGCATTATGCAGCAGCACACACAGGAGGGGGGTTTTGGGTGCCTTAAGCCCCTCAGCATACACACACAGAGAGAGAGAAAGAGGTCCAAAGGGGGTCTAAGGACTGAAAACCCATGTATAAATATTTTTTTTGCATAAACAAAAGTGTTGAAAATGCAATTTGTGCCCGGGAAATGTGCGCTGGCCTGTGGCTTAGTGTGTGAGGTCAAACCCACAATAAAAACACTCACGGAATATATACAATAATAAATGTGAGAAACTAGATGGAAAAGATGGGGCTCTTATCCTGGATTCTGGGAAAAAATATTTTATAAATATACTGTATATATTATAAATGATCTTGGGGAGTTCTGAGAAAATAATGAATGAAAAAGGGTTTCTTAGAAATATTAAAAAAATATCTCTCGGTTAAAACTGAAAACAATTTTATATTTCATAAAATAAATATGCTTTGGTGGCTTTAAATTATTGAATTCAATTTTTTCATCTTAAACCATTTTTCCTCTCTCTAATACTACAATAAAAAAGCAAAGGTAACTCCTTCTTTCAAGCCAGAAAAACCCTAGATTTTCTACCTTTCTATCCCCCAACAACACTTGGCTTCTGGACCCTTGGACATTGTGTTTCCAGCACAAAAAAAAGAAGAAAACAACAATAAACAACGCGGCCTATGCGGCGTATGCGTATGTTTCGAGTCCACATTATGTATACGCACTGTGTGCTCATGCACACATCCTCCCAGGAGGGAGTGAGAGGGAGCCAGAGGCAACGAGAGAGACAGAGACGGGACCCATTTGTATGGCAAACTGTTTTTAATGCTTTTAATGCGCCAAAGTGTTGTTTCATTTTCATTATTTGCACAAGCTGCCACACATTTAAATGCCAGTTCGCCTCCCCTTCTGTGTGTGTGTTTATGTCTCTCTCTCTCTCTGTGTATGTGCAGCTGTTGAGCTATAATCATAATTTCATAAAGCACATTTTCACAAAAGCTTTCAGCACCCTAAACTGCATTGTAATTACAACGAAAGCGCGCTGGCTGGCTGGCTGTCGGAGCGAAAGGATTGGACTGGAGACTGGGGAAAGGGGAGCAGCACTGCACCGCAGAGGAAAAGGACCCAGGGACCCGCCGCTGCCGCCATTCGCCATTTGCCATTCGGTGTGCAACATCAAGGAGCGAAAGGATAACGATGGCCAACGTGTCGGTTATTCGTTGCGCAGCTGAGCTGTCAGTTTGGCCATAATATCAGCCATTATAATATGGGGTTTATAGCTCAATAAGTATTTTGTTTCATTTTCTGACTGGGTTTTATAGGTGATTTTAGATGTATATCTATACGTATGCATACATAGGTATTTAGGGTAGAGGTAATAAAGATTAAGGGATATATCAACATTAGAAATAGTTTAACCCATTTTGGAACAAAGGGAATTGTAAATATTTTTTTCTCTTAAAATTTGAGATATAAAATATCAAACTTTAAAATATCTTTCTTAAAATATCTTCCTAAAAATATATTTTATAAATTATATTCCTATCCAAAACCCAGTGAAAAATCCACACTGACTGCATCTGGGTAAAGGAAAATATCAGGGAAAATATGGTAAAGAGATGAAGGGATAACTTCAGTTAACATTTGTTCCCCCCTTTTCCCCCTCATACACCCCACTTTGTGTGTGTTGCGTGTTGATTTCAACGCATAAATATTTCAAAAGGTTCAAACAAAATGGCGTCGACGCGCAATAAATACCAACGCAACGCGAAGGCTCCATCTGTGTGTGTGTGTTGTGCGAGAATGTAACCCTCTCCTCCTACTCCTCCCTCTCCTCGCCGTGTAATAAAAGTGAATTTATGCAATATTTCTGCGCCTTTGTGCAAATAACATTTGTAATTCAGCGGAACAACAACGAACAACGGCGAACAACCGACAAAAGTGTCCTCGTCAAAAGTGTTTGTTATGCTAATGAGAGCCAACCAACAAGGCTCGATCCCATCGAAACGCGAAAATTCGTCACTGAATCTATTAAATAATAATTAAAGCACCAAAAATGTTTCAGCGAAAAATGCATAATAAAAGAGAGAGAAAAGATCTAAGGGGCAGGCAATATGTATGTCCTGGCTCCTGTTTTGTGGGGGCTAAAAGGATTGACAAATGGCCAGGCCATTAAAATGATTTATACATGTCAAGGCAAATAAATTCGCAACCAAAAATAAAAAGTGCCTCTTATAAATTTTTGAAAAAGTTTTTTCGTTCATCGTGGAAATTTAGATTTTCCAAAAAAGTTGTTGGGAAAAGTTTTCGGAAGCATACTTTTGGGTAGAACGTAAAGAGAAATATATAAAAAAATTACATAAAAAATTAAGAAAACCTAGAATATAATATTTTTCTACAATTTAAGAAGTCTATATATATTTCTAGAATAATTTATAAACATTTAAGTATTGAAAAAACTTTAATAAAAAAAGATAAACAATTATATTCATTGTTTAATTGGTTTTTATATAATTCATGCCTTAATTACTAAAAAAAAAACATAATCCAAACAATTTATAAATCAATTTTCGTAATTATAAATAAATATTTATATATATTTTATTTTAATTGTTTTTCAGCCCCGTGATTATTTTTTACAACATATTTCCAACTCTTCCTTGAAGCAATTAATGTTCCTTTTTCTGTTGCAACTTCAACCTGGCACCCACACTTTTATTTTATTTTTTCTCACCTGGCACCTTAATCGTGGCTGGTCCCTGGCACAGGTATTATTAGCTGTAACACCTGTTCCCTGTCACCGCAAGTGTTTGTCGAAGGGTTAAGGCATAAAGGTGCCACCGACCACGACACCTGGGTACCAGGCAAAGAACAAACCCCACTTTCCGAGCTTTAGTTACACTAAAAAACATTGCAAAATAAATATTAAAATGCAGAACAATGGCTTTCGAAAACAGCTAGCCATGGCCCAAGGCGGTTCGCACGGTGAAAAGAGCGAAAAAAGAAGGGGAAAATGCGGGGGAAAAGCAGAGTTTTTCACTGGCTCAAGATGGCCAAGAGTGGAGAGGCCTACAAATGTCATTCAAGCGCTTGGTTGCACTTAATAGAAAAAGGGGAAGGGTTAAGCACTGAAGAAAATTAATAGTAAATATGTTAGGTATTAAATTAATAAATTATTTAATTTGAAATATATTTTTTGCAAAATAGAAAATTCTTAGAGAATTTTCAGAGAGAATATCAAAGTGATATTTATATAAATTAGTTTAACCTTGGCTTTGGTTATTTATTATTTTTATATAGTAAATTTCTGTCATTAAAATTTATAAATATTACATATAATTTTAGGATCTTTCTAGCCTCTTTCTAGCTCTGCCAACTTTAGTAAAGGATATTGGAAATAGGCTTTCTCCTGGACTCACAGCCACTTGACTCTCATATCCTGCTGCATTTTCTCAGGAACGTCTAGATCCTTGCATTCCTTAAGGTGACTTGGTTCCAGAGCAGCATAGATGATCACATGGGATTCAGGCAGCTGCTTGAGAGCCTCAATTTCCGCCTGGACAATCTCCTCCGGCAGCTGGCGATCCAAGGTGAACATAAAGATTGAGGTCAACTGCTTGAGATCTGGATCAGATTTATTTGAACCCTTGGCGATCTCCTTTCGTCCACGGATCAGCTCATTGATGATCGACACCAAGCTACCATCTAGCGGAGTCAGGTCGTCGATCAGGATGAGATTCTGTCCGCAGAGGAGGATGTTCTTTAGCATGCTCTGGACACGCAGCAGGGAGGGAGTTTCCCGCCAGGAGAGAGTCTTCACATTTTCGGGCCACGGAAAGTTCTCGCGGAGCGATCGGGCAGTGTGGCTTTTGCCCACGTCAGAGAAACCAACCAAGGCGATGTTCTGATTACAAAATTTAATATGGACTCAAGTATTTCATATAGTTTTGTACGTTTCTACCCACCCGATAGGAGCTATTATCAAGGGCTTGCTCTAGCTGATCTAGGGCCTCCTCCTGGTACAGAACCTGACGACGGACATGTGTCACCATGTCCCCCAGCCGATGAGAACGATCGCAGTAGCTGTCCTCTTTTCGTAGATCTCTGGTGTTCGTGTAGCGCAGGCAACACACTCCCAGGCCGACGAAGAGCACCAGCCAAAACCACATGAGGCTGTGTTGGATTTGGGGCTCCTGGTCGCGGGGTATCCACTTCTTGTTACTCCCAGTCTTGGACAAAACAATCCAACGGAGACGTTTCTTTAGCTTCATCCTATCCACCCATCGTTTGCAAGCTCCACGGACTGAAAAGTCAGATATAAGAAACATTCCTCTCTGCCATTCGGCCATCGCTGGGTTTTTTTAGTTGGGTTTTGGGAAAACTTTTCCAAAAAAGTGCAGATAATTTGTTGGGTCTAGTTGACGTTAGTGATGTAAAAGGCTAGGAAGCCGGAAGCTTGTAAGATATCGATAGGCAGGAAATATAGTTGGGTAAGGGCACACTTGGTTTTGAGGAAATAATTTAATAAATTTGTTCACATTTTCTTAGTCTTTGCGAACATTAACTTAGTACTATGTATAAGCTTGAGCTTGACAATTTTATTTTTAAATACAACCTATAATTAACAAATTTCTCCCCATGTAGCAGAACAACGCATTGAGGCATAAGGAGTATGGCTTTTGGTTTGGGAAGATGTATCGTCGGTGCCTCCTCAAGTGGCCAATGGTTTTCCGCCTTTGGGTTTTTGGTCGAAGCGGAAATCCATTAGGTTTGCCTTTGCCTTTTGTCCCCCATTGTGTGTGTCCCCGAACCGCTGCAGTTTGCATTTGTGTGCGATGATTTCCGTTTGACATGGCCACAACACTCCCCCCAAGAAGCCCCGCTAAAACCGAAGCCGCCTCACAGCCTTAACCCCGGTTGGCTTGGTAGGCCTACCAGTCTCGCCCAGCTTAACCCCTTCTCCAAATCACAATCTCGAAAACGTTTTGCATACATTTCCAGCCGAGTCGCGGCGCAGGTTTATGCGTTTCTATTAGCATAAATCAAAGCTAGATTCGCTGCCTCTAAAATATATCTATTTCGCTTGTAAAACACATGGAAACAACTGCCTTGGAAACACCTTTCTCTCTTGCCAAAAAGAAAAAAAAATCAAATCAAATATTTATACAAAATATATACGGTGAGCGAAACCAGAAATACAGAAACGCGACAAAGCGAGCCTGATGAAAACATTAACATTATACTCGAAATGTTTTTATGGCTACTTCAATTTTTGATGGTTGGCTTGCGCAAGCCAAAGATGCTCTTTTAAGGTTTGGGATATGAGGTTGACTTTGTTTTACACTTTTTTTTATATCTAAATAGGTATCTTATAGAACTTACATATATAAATTTTCAAGTTGATAAATTTTAATTTTAGGAGAAAATTTAAAAGATTAGAAATTTTAACTGTCTGACTAAAAGTCTGATCTTTGATCATTTTAATTTTAATATTTTTATACCCATTTCAATTTTATTTAAGATTCTGTTAATTTGTTTAAATAACTCCTTATTTTCTCCACAAAAGAGCATTCCCGTTGCCACTCTAAAAAAAACCCCCAATTAATTGCCCGTTTTGATTCGTCTCTTAAGCCAAATATACTTTGTTTATTTCGGAGAATGCGCATGCGAGTGTACAATAAAATTTGTTAAATATTGGCCGAGGAGAACAGACACAATCGTAAAAAAAACAACAGGCAACGCAAAAAGCATAATGCGACACAAAAATCGTTAATGACGAATGTGTTGTTTCTTTTTTTTTTTTTTTTTGGTTTAATTGCCCCTTCGGTTTGGTGGTTAAGTTGACAAGCCGAGAGCTGGGCAAGTTGATGAATTCGCGACGCCCGCATCGGTCATTAACATTTACATTTACATTAACATTTACCTTTACATTTTCACATTTAATTTTGTGCAGGTAAATCGAGGACAGGGAAAGGGGAGAGCAGAGTCAGAGTCAGAGTCACCTGTTTCTTCTGGTTAGCAGGAAGTGCAGCCTCGCCGCTCGTCAGTGTCAGTGTCATATCTCGATAACTCAATCTCCGAATCTTAAAAGGGGGGAGGCCTTAAAAAAAAGGCCAGCGTCATGGAAGTCAGTCAGCCTGTCAGTCCAAGTCAGCCAAGATCGCGCCGGATCATGACGCGGTGAAAATATTGAACGTAAAAGGAGCGAAGGGGCCAGCAAATTGGCTTGATCGGTGCCGGCTTAGGCCCACGATTGGCATCAGTCTGTAGTCTAAAGTCTGAAGTCTGAAAAAACCCGCCCAATCCAACTGATGGACAGTTAAATCACTCGATTGAGTACTGGCTGAATGAGGGAGTAGCAAGTAGCAAGTACCAAGTACTAAGTACCTTGAGATGAACGACAAATGAACCGCGAAAGTGCTTTCCCCCAAAAAAACATATGGCACACAATTATCCAACTGACAGTGACGATGTGTTAAGGAAAGGCCAGAATACATGGGGTTTTTGTAGATTAAGATACGACTAGGGGATACTGTGTATAAAGCTGGGAGGTATATTATATATTAAGTAAAGATTTATACTTTATTTGGCATTTATTAAAGAATTTTTAAACTTTAATGTATAAAAAGAAACTTAAAATAAGTATTGGGTAAAGTTTTGTGTTGGACAAATATTAAAAAAAAATTTCAAGGCCCATAGAGAGGATTAAAAATAATAAATAGCATAAATATAAGGGTTTTGAACTATGTTATATATTTTTACCAGGCTTATATGTCTTCTGGATCATGCTTTAACGTACAAAAAACAGGCTTAAAAAACGTTCTGACTATATTTTTAACTTTAAAAAATATTTCAAAAATCTAAAAAAATGTAGAAGACTTTTAAAATATTAAAATCAATTTATTTTAAGAGTTTTGACTTTTATATATATTTTTTTATAAATCTTAAAGGACCTATTATTATTAATTTTATAAAATTCTTCTTACTTTCCAATACTTCCCTTTCAATACCCCCTAATTTCTTACATTTAAAAAAACACACAAACTCGCTGGGATTTATGAAAATATTGTAGTACAAAATAAGTGTGAAATCTGTGGTAACCAAAGGCCAGGGACATGGACGCTGACACACGGGACACGGGACACGGGACCCGGGACAGACTCAATGAAGATCCAAACAGCAAAGCTGAGCCGTACCGGCGGCGGCGGCACATGGCGCCCCCTGTGCGGCATTTATCATGGGCCTTCAGTGCACTATATTTAGCCGACGGGCTAATGGATGCCACCGGGAGGAACCAGGCAGAGATACACCTCGGAGAGGGGCAACCAGGAACGGGCACGGGCACGGGCAATGGGAGGGAGCCAGCCGATCTCCGGCACAGGCCACACTTTCAAATTCATATTTATTGTCTAGGCTGCGGCCTGAGTGCATTTTTATATATGGCAGTCCATTTGCCGACGAGGCTCCTCCACACCCAACTAGCAGCTCCAAAAACCAAAATAAACAATAATTGAACATGCACTGAGGGAAAATAATGTGTGAATATGATTTCATATATTTATAAATATTTTATTTTTGTTTGGAAAGCTGAAGAAATATTTTTTAAATATATTAAAAAGTTTTTAAGGTAGTTAAAAAATTTTTAAAATAAAAAAATTATATTAGCTTAAAAGAGCATTCAAATTTAACATTTTATTCATTAAATTTCAACATGTTTTTTGCATTTTAAAGTTCTTATAAATAAAATAGAACCATTTAACAAAATTTTAAAATATTTCTAGAACATTTTCCTTTTTTCTTAAAATATTTTTAAAATTTTTAAAACTCTCTAAATAATTTAAAACTCCATTTTCCACACATTTCCCCACCTAAATTTTTCTCTCCCTGTGAAAGCGGAAAGGAAATCGCATTTGTAGTGCATTCGGGATAATAGGAGACTCCTAGGGCTAAGGGGGCGGTGGAGGCGGGACACCCGCGTGCGTGTGTGTAAAATGCTTGGCATTTTAAAAGGTTCCACATTTTGGGGGTCACCGAGTCTCGGGGGCTAATTGCATTGATTAGCTGACGGCGCGTTTTGCCGCCCATCAAAGTCGAGCAGCGGCAGATGGAAAAATGCTGCGGCAACTATGGGTTAAGGGACTGGGGGCAAGTCAGCTGTCAGTCAAGTGGCGACATGTTTACTTGGTAAAAAAAAAAATAATAAGAAACCCTTTCCTCTCCTCCTCCCCAAGAAACCGAGGAAACGTTTGAGCCGCGCCGCAAATGAAAGGAAAATATTTCTCTGTTTGCATTCATATTTCAATATTCAATATTTTCCTCTGGCGGCGGCGGCGGTTCGTCAGTGTGAGATGTTATTAGAAGACGCCCGGATTCCAATCAGCCGATCTCTGATCACCGAAAGGTGATCAAAGGTGAGCGACGCTACGCTGGAATGGCTAAGACCTGAAAAGCCGTTCGTTTGAGCGTTCGGCGGCGATGCCAAATTGACATAATGTGGCGTTTAACAAATTCCCAAACAATGCACATCCATCAAAGATTCAACAGCGGTCACTGGGATCAGGGTTGGACAAGAGATTTTCAGAGGGTTTTATTAAATATAAAGCCTTTTTTTTGAGATTTTATTTGAATAATAAAGCAGCAGGATAGGGGAAGAACTTGGTTAACGGAAAGTATATAAGAGAAATATTAAATATAAATTGCTTAAAATATTTTTAAAAAATTCTTTCACATAAAAACAAGCAAACTTTTGGTTTTAGTATTATAAAAGGCTCTTTTCCAGCCCTAATCCCCGTAGCTTCCCTGTTCAATTGAGTCATATTCACGCACTAAACTACACATAAAATCCCCAAAGAAGGCGTATCTTTTTTCGGGCAGCTGCATTGGCGATCGGCCTTCGATCTCGGCGATAGATAAACCGGAGTTAAGGCTGAAGAAGGTGTAGAAAAAGTAAATGACATAATGCAGCATCATCACGGATGGTTGGATGGATGGATGGCTGAAGAGATCCCAGAGATGATCCTCTGCTCAGATCGGATAAGAGGCAGGCATTAGGCTAATCGGATGGCGGGTCACCAGACAGATACAGATATTGTAACACCGAAAAGATAAGAGCAGCCACAGAAGAGAAGATAAAAAAGAAAACGCCGCTCTTTTGTCGCCCATCGCAACGCTTTTCACGCCTCCCCAGGCCTCTGAAAATGTCCCCCCCTCTTTACATGTGAATATTTTTTCCATTTCCCTCGCTTTGGAAGACTATAAGCCGCTTTGGTGAGCATCTTAAAGATACTGCAGCTCAGGTAAATCAGTTTACAGCTTAGATTTTCGGCCGCAAAATGGCCGAAAGCGATGACGATGACGACCACGACTCTGTGTAAATTCAATTTGCATTCGAATTTCGGGAAGGCATTCGGATTTGGGCCAAAGGAAATCCGTTTCAGAGGCCGGCGGCCTAATGCGTTAATCACTTTTCGTAAGCGTCAATTGAATGTCGCGTGCCAGGAACTCGACAATTGCAGAGGAGCAGGAGGAAGCTGATGCGATTGGTATCGAAATCAACTACTGGAATCAACTGCTCTAATAAATTGTTGTCCTCCGGGTTACGCCTTGCACTTGTCCTTCAGCTTTCCGATCCATCTATCAAGGGGAACCCCCCTCTAAAAACGAACCCTAACCCAAAAACCCAGCTGCATCCATCCGGCGGCGAATGGCCGACACGTGTGGCGGACAATTGTTGTTTATACTAACAATTTGTGAGGCAGGAAGATGAACATTTAGCTGGATAACCCAATCCTCTAGACTCGCCTGATTGCCCGCCAATGTGGCCTATTGTTTTGCTACTTTCGAGGCGCTCAGACCCACCTCCTCCTTCTTGGCCACGTGGATGGGCCACGTGCCGCTGGCCACCGATGACGACGATGACTTGACGGCAACGGCGACTCCTTGCTCATGGCAACTCCCCTGGGGAGACACTACCACCGCCACTTCCTCACCCACTGCCACTGTTGCTGCCACATCCTCATCCACTTCGGCGGTTCGGTGGTTCAGTGGTTATTGTCGCTGCTACGCTTCGTTCCGTTTTCATTATGGGCCACGTGTGCCTCGACTTCCTCTCAAAAACACAGGGAGAAAATGTGTGCCAGTCTTTACAAAATTATAAGAAAATAATTCTATGGAAATATAAGTATATTACAAATAAATTAAATAAGCTTGAGCCTAAGTTACTTATTTAAAATAAATCTTGCAAATTTATCCGCCTTATAATTCTCAAGTAATTTGATAGCTTTGCACTATAATTCCCAAATGTATTCAGTGGCAACCTATTTACTTCTAGAATAACTATAAAAAAATTTATCTTAATACTCAAGAATTTATTCCTTACTCTAAGCTATAGATTCTTTTTATTTTCAAATAGTTTTTTCTATTATTTTCTATACATTTTCTCCCAGTGCATAAACTCTACCCCATCCTCTCCTCAACGCTCATTTTTTGGCGTGTTCTCTTCCTTTTTTTTTCTCTTCCTCACAACGGTTAACTTGCAGGCGTTGATCCTTTGACTTTTGTGCTCAACACTTTCGCTGCGAAGCTCGAGGCCTGGGAAATTGTTTAGCTTCCATATTGCGCGTTTTTGTCACGCTGCGTGTCCGGCGCGTGCAACATTTTTCCCCTGCCCCTCCACCTTAATTTTCCCCTCCCCCTTTCCCTCCCATCACTTCATTTTCCACACCCTCGTCCAGATGAGCGTTTTTTATGCGGGGCGTGTGTGGTGTGTGTGGCTAATATTTTCCTGTCGCGCAATCGCATGGCAAAAATTTACTCATTAACATCAGCGGGAGGACACTCGCCAGCAGGCTGGATCTGGAGGCAGTCCTGGGACACATGCGGTGCACTTGCAGCGGTGGCGAATGTTTATGGTGATTGAATGGGAGGTTTTTGCCAGTCAGGGGGGAAACAGGGAACAGCCAGCCAGGGTCACAGGTCACAGGTTGCCTGGGAAAATAGTTGATGGGAATTACCAAAAGCGAGGCAAACTTGCTCGGGGGAAAAATAAACGCTACTCACGGAGAGTAGTGTTCTGTGAGTGTAGATGACTTTTCGATTTCCTGCCGAGTATGATTTTGGTGATAAAAATTACCCAAGCTCGAGTATGTTTGGTTTTTCTCAATAATTAGGGGTTGGGAAAAGCAGCAGGGAAACGTATTTTCCAAATACAATTGTTGGAAATTCAATTAACACTAAACAAAGGTAATTTTATTGTGCGATTTGAATTTATTTATATTTTTTGGGTTGCTGAAACTGCAGGGAAACCATTATGGAATTCTTGGGGTTTCAGGAAAAGAAACAGAGGGACAAGGCGTATGCAAAATTCAAGAAAATAATATGTCTTACATTGTATTCCCTTTTTAAAGTCCAATTATTTACCCTCAACAATTAAGTCCCACTGTTATCTGTCTCACTTTACCTTATCTTATCTTCAAGTGCCTCACATAAATTGTTTAAGCAAAATAAATTAAAATTCCAAACTAAATAAAGAAAAAGTTAATTTAGATAGTAAGACACTCCTTTTCCTATAAAAGACAAACCCAACGGCAGCGCAGACATTGCGATCTGAAGTTCTAAACAAAAAAGGCAAAGATGTTCATCAAGTGTCTACTTTTGCTACTGACACCCAGCTTCCTGTCTGCAGGACATCTTCCTCGAGTGTATCCCCGCATAATTGATGGAATATACACCGACATCAAAGAGGCTCCTTGGCAGGTATCCTTGCAGCTTAATGGAGAGCACCAATGCGGTGGCTCCATATACGACAACAGGACCATCATCACTGCTGCTCACTGCTTTTTTTCGAATGACAATAAGGAAATAGACACTCATGCCTTCTCCGTTAGCGTTGGATCCACATCCAGATTTAATGGAACTGTCTATGGTTTGGAGAAGAAAGTGCATTATCCAGGCTTCAAAGTAAAGGAATTCTATCGGAACGACATTGCTGTCCTGCGATTGAGCAATCCTCTGGTATTTGGCGACAATGTACAACCAATCTCCTTGGCCACAAAGGAACCTGTTGCCGGTACTATTGCAGCTGCCACTGGATGGGGGGTAGTTCACCTTACTTTTGACATCTGGGGTATAGGAAGCTTTTATCCTGAAAATCTTCTAGGAATTCGCAAAAGGATTCTTACTCTTGAAACCTGTCAGAAATGGTATTGGAATAATTTTGGAGAGGATGTTCTTTGCACTGATCCTGGAGTCTGTAATGGAGATTCCGGAGGACCCTTGGTAGTTAACCGAGAACTCGTGGGTGTTATGTCAGGAATGCAGTATTTACATTGCAATGGTCCCGCATTTTTTGCAAATGTCTTCCATCTTCGGGGTTGGATCCTAAGCGCTATTAAGGCTTTAAATAGTTACAATTGACTGGCTTAGGCTCAATCAACACTAAATAAAGCACACTTACTTGAACATTAAGCATTTATATATTTTGTAAAAGTAAAGATACTTTCTTTTAACTTTTCTTTTACATTTTAATTTACTTTGTCAACTTCTTAAACAAAATAAATGTAACTTAAAGAGCTTAATCCTTCATCTAATTGTAACTATTATAAAAATATCCCTAGTTTATACCTAGAAATAACATCCTATAATTCCCCTATATTTACATGAGTAATTAGTGTCATCAAAACTCCATTCAAAACAGCTAAAAGATCAATTTCCAGGCACAGAGACAAAGTCAAGTGTAGACAATGACACAACGATTGCAAGCCATTGAGGAACCTTAGGTAAGAGCCTATTATCCTCACCCTTTCGTAGGACTGTAAACTCAGGGATGTGCATACTGGGATATGAAATTTGTAACAGGAAACACAGCACGTTGCCGGCACAGCACTTCCTAGACGACGAAAACGACTACGACGGGTGATTTATAACTGATTACACTCGAGGCAGAGACAGGTAGAGGGCAAACCATCACCATAACCATATCGAGGGGCTGGCACTGGCATTCCACAGCCATGACGCAACCGACAAGCCAAAAGGATACGAAGATCCTCCCGGAATTTGGTAATGAAATGGGTGCGTTCTGCTGACGCCGCCGGCTTATTGCGGTTGACGTCGACGGCGACGCGGTGGGTGATCATTAAACGCTCATTTCAGGTACACTGGGAGAAATATTAGGAGGTTTTTGTAGAAAAGAATATATTGTGACTTTTTTCTTATTTTCCTATTAATTCTCATTAAATGTATTAATTTGATTCTTAAATTAAATAAATTAATTTCTTAAAATCTTATGAAAGCCATTTAATAAAGTCACTAGTTTTTCATGTAATACAACAACAAACATATCTAGATCGACAAGGCTGTTAAAGCTAAAAAGCAATCAATACCTAAGGCCTTACGAGCCTCTCTAAAATGCTTCGCAAATTTGTGAGTAAACTTATATTAATAAAAGTATTATTTTCCTAATTTCTTTACATATTTTTTCTCACAACATTTTCTCCCTGTGCACCCTCTCCCTGCCCTCTTTCCACTCTCTCCCTGCCCTCAACTGCTTGTCGCGCCGCATTGATTGTGACCAATAAATACGCAATTGATTTCGGGCTTCTGGTATTGCATGGTCACTTCTGAGTTTCGAGCTCGAGTCTGGGTCTTCGTCTGGACCTCTTGGTCTTGGTCTTGGTCCGAGACTGGAACTGGCAACTGGGAACCTAAAATCCAGCCCAAATCCAGGTAGGGCTGCGACTTCTTATCAGCTCGGGACGCGAATTCCTGACGTGCGGACAACCTTAAGCGTCCCTTAAGCACATTAGGAGCAGCAGCAGTCTTGGGTTTGGAATCGGAAACCGAGACGGAGACGCAGACCGAGACGCTGGCGGGGATCTCTCTGGAAGGAGGTCGCCGCGTCTTTATGATTTATGGCCCACATGAGCGATCGCCGCTGGCAGTCAGTCTGTAGTCTCCAGTCTCGCACTCTTATCGACAGCTCACTGTAAGCAGCTTAGTGCACATTTCTTCTGTACTTTTTTTAAGACGGAGAAAAGCTTACAAAAAAATTAAAATGATCAGATATAGGGGCAGATGTTGGGGGTATACTTTTTTAGTATTTAAAGGTATATTACTAACTTACAAAAATATAAATTACTTTAAATTAAATGTTAAACTTCAACACTCTTTATTACATAGTTTTCCTCAGCCCTTGGTTAATTTCTTTTCGTTTAAGAACACTCCCTGAAAACGCATGAAAAACAGTAGCTGGAAACCAAAAGGAAAAACTGTATATGTTCCTGTGGCTTTTCCGCAAAAGTGTGCATAAATTGTCTGCGGCAAAAGAGCGGCAGCAACAAGAAAAGCCAGGAGCAGCCAGCAACAACATTAGTGACTTGTAAGCGCATATGAATAAATTATTGGCACACACACTGTACACATTCGTACGGTGCGTGCAAAAAGCCAGAGGAAAAGGGAAAAACAGGGAACAACAAAAAAAAAAAGGCAACTCCTTTTGAAGTTGCTTTTTCCCTTCATGTGCCATATGGTGGCTATTTTTGGTGATTAAGCAGATGATACTCGGGCAATGGCCAAGTCCAAGTTCGCTTCGTTACGTTCCGTGTGTGTGCAGCAAAAAGTTCAGCGTCATTCCAGCGACTAGGATCATAAATTTACTAACCCCGAGTCCACAAAACAGGGCCCAACCCAAAAAAAGAAAGAATAAACCTTACTATACAAGTTGAAACTAAAAACCCCCTTTAACTGCCAGAGTTTTGTTCGAGGAGTTTTCAGAAAAGAAATGTATGTGTGTGCGGGATAAGCCAAGGCAGCCAACAACGAACCCCTGAAAAAGTTAAGACACTTTAATGGCTGTTCTAATGCTCGGCTTCCTAAGGGTTTTCCCTCATTTCCCTCGGCAACTTTCCGGAGGGAAAGTGTCTGAGATCGTTTTTGGGTAACTTGCTGCTCTGCTCTGTACGGTGATTCATAATGAAAAGCCTGCAAGAATCGCAGAGAAATTCGCTTGTTGAAAACTTCATTGAAATGGGAATAGAATAAAGTGTGTGTGAGTTGGTGGAGGGAAACACATTCCGGCAGGAGTTATTGGTTTAGAGTCCTTTAGCAGAAAGTAAATTAGGTGCAGGATTTTTCAGAAAAATTCTAGAGAGTTTTACTTAAGAAAAATAATTTTCTTTAAATATATTTCACATATAGAATTTTTAAATAAATAAATAAAATATATTACTGAAAAATATTCTATAAAATTGTAATTAATTTACAAGTATCTTTCTCCGAGTACAAGAGTCCAATATATCGATCAGATTATCGATTAAACACAAATAATCGCAATAGTATCGATTAAATATCGATATATAATTATGTTTTTAACTCTTCAAACTTCTTGTTCAGGTCAGGAGCTTATGTTCCCGCCCCCCGCGACTCCGAAGCGCTCCCGCTTCTTCAAAGCTCCTCAGCTCGCTCTCTCGCTCCCGCTCTTCTAGCGGGTGCTTCGGCTCTGGCCGATCGTCGCATCGCTGAGCGGCCGCTCCCGCTCTCCTAGTTTGATCACTCACTCCAATTTGTACATTATTTAATTCCTAATTAGAACCTGAATAAAGCGGATCATACGATTTCATATTATATTGAAAGTTACCACGCCCCCCCGGCCTACTATTTCATTTCGTTGGTGGTGATTTTCTCTTGCGCGTTTTCGCTATTTCTACGGTGGTTACGTTGACTGCGGCGCGGGAGTGATTTATTTATTAATTCTTGTGCTGATCTGGAAAGTGAAGGAAATTGAATTCCCCCCCTCGAGCCGAACATTTGGTCCTCCAGAGCCGGATTTGTGGATTTTTTGGATTTCCGGATTTTATTGGATTTTGGATTTTTGGATTCCGGATTTTTTTCCATCCACACCAGCAGTTCTCGGCGTTTCATATTTTCCAAGATAAGTACGAATTATTCCGTCGCCCCCTTACTGCCGGTCTTCAGCAGAGTCCGAACAATTAATTTCGGTCACTCTGCTGCAAGATTAATTTCCGTGTCGACTCCAAGAGCGAGTTTTCCTGACAACGGCAGTTGAGGAATTTTCCATTGCTTTTTTTTTCCATTTCCTACATTTTGCAATTTTCAATCCGTCTCCGTTTTGATCGTCGCCATATTCTTTTTCGTCCGCTTTCCTCTACATATTGGCATTTATCCGTACATCAATGTACAAAACGGTTCCGACAGAAAATTAAAATTCATACATACATATGTCCATACATCTGTCTACATAAAGACATTGATTTTATTTTACACAATATAAAAAGACAAAATTATTAAGATTCCGATAATAAAAAATTACAAATAATAAAGAATACAGTCCGCTGCTAATATATACACATATATTATTATATTATTCCATATTATATTTTCTCCAGGTCAAATATATATGATTCCATATTATATTTTTCTACATTCCACATACATTTACATACAACATTAAAAAAAATAAAGAGAACCAAGAAAATAAACCATAATAAATAAAGAATAAAATATTAAAACAAAATTTTATAAGCCAGTGTCCGTCTTGTTTCTGCATTTTATTGGTGCGCTATATACATACATACATACATAACCAAGAGCTTTACATTCTTTACAACGAACATTGAATTGAGAAAAAAGGTGTCAGGTGTTCCGATCCCACCATTCCGATCGAATTACTTTTTTCCATACAATTAATAATTTTTGTTAATAATTAACGAATTAATTGCTCATTTAATACTTTTTAAAGTTTTTTTGCACGCGATTAAATATCCGCAATTGTCAAGGGTACTCCATATATATTTTCTTTGCATTTATTGAGTTATTATTAAATACGAAAATAATAAACAACTCGGCAGTTCCATTCCGCAATTATTTATAAATACAAATAAATTTCGATTCTCGTCGCATTTGCTCCAATTGATATTGGCTCCACTACAAATAATTTTTCGATTATCGTCGCATCTACGTCAAGTAAATTTTTTCCAGTTTATTTACTTGTAATTCTGAGATTGGTTAATTCCACCATCCACCATCTACCATCCGAGTTCTACGGCATATTCCTGCCATCCATATTCGCTTCGTTTTTACCGTCTCACATTTCTATTTCGGCGATTTTAGTTGACGGTATTGACCACAACTAAGTCTAACATTTGAATTCTACGGCATATTCTTGCCAATCCAATCCAAAAAAATGTCGGAAGGACAAGAACCAATTCCGCAAGACGCGAGTCAGAAGAAGGAGGCAGCGCAGTTAGCGCCTCCAATAGATGGAAGTTCGAGGCGGGAACCGAGTCCGAGAAACACGGGCGCGGGACCGGCAAGTAATTTGAGATCCAAAGCCAAGACCACTTTAGACGTTATTTTGCTTGAGTTCATAGAAACTAGTGACCGTCTTAGCAAATTTGAAAGCCAGATATTTACGGCATCCTCTTCCGAGCCTAACTTGTTTACATTAAAGATCCGTCTGGATCAGACACAAGCCTTATGGGAAAAGGTTGAACGGGAGTATGAAACCGCTTCCAAAACAGCTCTTCGCGAAGGTAGCGGAAATCTTCCGTTACTGCAAAACAAATATG